ACTGTTCAGGTTCCATGAGCGTGAGAGTGGAGAGAATCTTTTTCTTCCAGACCAATAAATCTATATGTGATAATACGACATGAAAACAGCTTAGGCCACTTAAATCCATACATTGTCTCTCCTTTTTAATGGGTTGAGGCAGGGTATGTTTGTTGATCATTCATCATTGTAAATATAAAATGATGGGGTATATAGTTATGGCAAAAAGTGTTATGGATAATTAATGTCTAATACTAGTAGGAACAATCATATCAAAATGGTTTAATAAAGGGTAAGAATTTATGACCTTTCAGGAAATTCAAGTGTCTGCTAGTCTGTCACCTTTGTTCATTAATGCATGTTAAAACTGAATGTACTTACACTGCACCGTGGTCCCCATTTCCAGTAACATCTCATACTTCTTTTTTTCCAATAAGCTTCAAGAGAGATTCCTCCACTATTAGTTCCATATACCTCAAAGCAAGCATTAGCATCTCCTTTGGGTGGTGTATCACAGACTGTGGTTGATGCCTTTGGTGCTATGTAATAGCCAATAGAAGCTGAGACACTCAATCCTATCTTGTATACCCCCTGCTCAAAGGAAGATAAATTAAAAGATTGCAAAAAACTCTCTCTTTCTCTCTTGTTTATTCTTAGTTTCTCTCACCAAGACATTAGCTTCAGCTTGTCCAGTAACAGTAAATGTAGGTCCAGTCGTTAGCTGAGCTAGTGATACCCCTGTTGTATTGTAATCATTTTCAAGATGAGCTATATTAGCATGAAATTTCATAGTTCCACTGATGTACCCAGAGAGAGTCAGTCGCAAGGTACCTACATATATCCAGAAAGAGTAACCAGTGCTGAAGATGCGGACAGACTTGTGCCATGAACGAGTGTACTTGTAGTTATCTGTGGTGCTGTCGTAATCATTCAAAAGTGTATAACCCACTATTTTTATGTAATGCCTGTAAGTTAAAGTGCTGTCTGATTCATTGTCAGGAAAAGTTTGTAAGTAAGAAAATAGCACATCAAGACCAGAATAAGTACTTGACCAGGCTTGTAGACTAAGTTTTGCTCGTGCATACAGTTTGATACCAGTATAACCCATGCCTCCAAATCCTCCTGCTACTATACTAGCATACACCTTTGAAGATCCTATCTTTTGAGCCCACAAATAACCTCTGTTTAGAGGATAAGTTTTCATGTCACTCCTTCTCTGAGATAGTGATTCAATGAGGTTATAATTAGAATCAGAATGAGAGGCCCAGAAGGAAGAGCTTCTCTTTCCACGGCTATGCATATTAACATCACTTGACTCCAACCCTTGCTTCAAAGTTTTCACAGAGTTCCCATCATTAATAGCAGTGAAATATTGCTTTAGAGAATTTGTCAGCTCATCCTCATTGTATTTGATACCTGCTCTGATCAGTGCAGATTTCAGTTCTTACGAACTATGCATTCCTTCTTTATCTTATATGAATAAATGGAAGTTTTGAATGGAAACATTAAACTCTCAACCACTTCAAGAACTACTTGAGGATGCAGGGACTCTGACACAACTGTGGTAAATTCATTTTCTACTGCATCATCCATTGAGACTCCTCTCAAAGCATCAATGGTGTGTGCTTGATAGGTAACATCAGAAATAAATGGCTCAAGAATTGGGATTATTTTCTTAGAAGCTGTGTTCCCAAGAGCATGAATGAAAACAGAAATCTCTTCTGGAGTGTCAGCAGATGTTAATTTTACTGATAAATACCTAACAATCTTCTCTTCCACATTAGCATGACGACCGAGCATACCCAAGGAAAGTATGAGCTGATTAGCAATGTAATCATCTGAATTTAAAGACTCATATTGACTGACTAGGGAATCAACAGTACTGGAATGCACAGAAGGCATTAAAGCAATCTCAACCAATAGACTAGTGACTTCTGTTGAGAGTAAGAACTACCAATACAATCTTTTGCATATTTCTTGGAGGGTATTAGTGTCCAGACAAAAAATATAATTCACATGTTCTTTTTATATAGACATCATCATGTGATGTATGCATATAAAAGAGAGTGGGTGTGATATTAGCATACCATTTCATGATTAAATATAGTTTGTCAATATTTCAAATAAATGAGCAATAGCTTTAGTTATTTTTTCAACTAGATAATGAAAAATACGTACTAGCAAATAGAAATTATCTTTGCATGATACATATAGCTTTAAAATCCAACATACAGGCATTATTTTGCTTTTAAAATTTTCCCATGCAACCTTAATTTGATGATGCCTTGATCTGCCAAGCAACATGCTGCATTAAATGAGAAAGATCAAAGGTGGCAACATGCTGCTTATAGCATACATGCCTAAATTTTGAAATAACCCTTTCTGTTACTCCTGCTTTTAGTAATATTATTATCCATCAATAAGCTAGTAACTTTAATTACAGGTACAATATCTTGCAGTTTAACTCTCAGTATATTTGTGAGTATGGTTTAGAAATTATGATTGTATGTGTGATTCCGGAATCCAATCACAAATTGCACTAATAATTTAAAGTATACCCCTAAGGTAATTGATAGTGTTCACTTTTGATAATGTTTATTACTTTTTGAGCAGCTGGCATAATCATAAACCATCTGTAAAAACAACAACAACAAAGCCTGCCTGCAAGCAGACCATCTGAAGCAATGATTGTTTCCTCCAAAGTTATTTTAGTTTTATCAAAAACAGCTCAGTCACAGTGCCACAAAAACAATGAACAAATGGTACTGTAACAGCCTGGCAAATGAAGAATTTCTCTTAGCTAATTTTAAATACTGTGTAATATAATGCAATTCAGAGTGTACATTCTACTGCCAAAAAGTCTCTTAAAATTAAATGAGCTTTTCAATCAATTGATCAGTTGAAGTATTAATGTATGCATTACTTTAAAATTGCAATTGACTTCCAGGCAGAACTTAGTACAGCCATATAAATGGAAAAAATTGAAAAGAAAATTTTAAATTCTGAAAATAAATATTGAGTTGTGGAAATAATTCCAACCGACACAAAGTTTAGGGTTGCATATAGATGTGTTATGTGATTCAATAGTGCACCTGGTGTACAAGGGGACATAGGCTCCAAATTTTAATTTTTTAGCTGGTGTATTTCTAATTCTAGTGTCGAAAAGTCTATCACTCTTCGTATCTACTCCATTCTGCTCAATTAAAAATAGTATTCTAAAAAGGTTATTAATCACAAAATTAAAACTAAAAATTTTATGCTCTCAGTAATTGTGTCTAATGTTCTGTGTATCTTCAGCAGTATCTTCATCTCCATTATCTGATTTCCTGTATGCTGCACTCATTAATAATTCTGAACGGAACTGAACTGGATTTTCTTCAGGGTAAGTTATTGATCGTATCAAATTGATATTTCTTGATATATCACTTTTTGAAGCAGATACAGGTTGAGGTTGAGTAGCAGAAATTGGTCTGTTAGTAGAAATTATCAAGTCTACAATAGCAGTTGGGAGAAAACTCTCCTCCTTGATAAGCAGTATGTCTAGTACATTTAAACCATTATCATCAATTCTGCTAACATCAGCACCAGCTTGTATCAGTGTCTCGACAATTTCAATGTGTTCACATGAAGCTGCTATCATCAATGGAGTTATACCACCTGCTAATGGAGTATCTGGACTCATTCCAACTTCAAATAAAATACTAACTAATAATCCTAAATCTCCTCCAGCAGCAGCTAATAATAGCTCTCTTTCACTACTTGAACTTATTATTTTGTCTGATAATAACATCATCACTGAAGAGCCACCACTATAACAAGCTGCAACAAAAGCATGTGTGTAACACTCCTGAGAGACTTCACATTTCTTCATGATGATCTCTACAGCATCAGGGTTACAATAAATAGCTGCTAGTACTACTGAATGAACAGTGACATTTTTGATTTGGTGCATGTGACTAGGATGAATATCAAGTAATCGTTCCATAATATTCAAATAATTTGGTGTTTTATAGCCTTTTTGTAACACAAATGCAAGTGCTGTCCTTCCATCATTGTGCTTAATACTAATATCAATTTCTTCATTTAGCAGAAGTTCAACAACACTAAAATGACCATTGTTGGAAGCAAGCATCAAAGCAGTCCATCCATCTCTATCTTGCTTGTTAATATTTGGTTGTTTTTTCAATAAAAGGTTAACAACCTCATAGTGCCCATTGGTACAAGCAATCATCAAAGCAGTCCACCCCCTTACATTTTCTGAAATGTTGATATCTGGGTCAGCATTTAGTAGAAGCTCCACAATTTGATGATGTCCACCATGACAAGCAAGCATCAAAGAAGTCCATCCATCTTGGGTCTGAGTGTTCATAAGAATATTGCATCCATTGTTATCTTGATCATCAATAGCTCTCATGTTACTGAGTAACACCTCAACGACCTGGTAATGCCCATGATAACAAGCAAGATTAAGAGCATTCCATTCTTCTTGGTCTTTAATACTAATATCAGCATTCCTCCTAAGCAATAGGTCCACAATTATGTGATAACCTTTACAACAACTCAACATCAATGCCGTCCAGCCATAATTTGTAGCAACGCTAACATCTGGATTTTTACTAAGTAAAAGTTCAGCAACTTGGCTGTGTCCATTATTACAAGCAACCATCAGTGAAGTTTCTCCATTACTACTTTGAACATCAACATCTGGATTTTTACTCAGTAACAGTTCAACCACATCATAGCAACCATCTTGACAAGCAAACATCAAGGCAGTCCATCCTTTATATTCTTGAACATTAATATTGAGACCTTTTCTCAGCAAAAGCTCAACAATTTGAGAGCTACCAAAACGAGAAGCAATCATCAAAGCAGTAATTCCTTTACTATTTTGAATGTTAATATCTGGGCTCTTACTCAACAAGAGGTCCACAACCTGGAGATGTTTAATTTCAGAAGCAATCATTAATGCAGTGAATCCTGAACTGTTTTGATAATTAATATTCAAATTAAACTGCAAAAGTAGTAAGACTATTTTTTCATATTCTTCATCTTGGTCAATATTACCAATGGCATGTAGAAGTGAATCCTCAAAACAAAAGTTAGCATAGTCTTCAACCTCATCTATGACAGTGTGATAGTTAATGGCAAGTTTAAATATACCAAAATGACGCATGAACTGAGCTTTATCTTGTGCTTTGGCAATTAGAGAACAAATGACTTTATAAGAAGCAGCCAAAAAATGAATTTCAATAGATCCTTTTAATATCATTTTAATTGTAAGGTATTTTGCTTCATCACGAAAAAAGTATTCCATCAATTTTCGAAGGTTTCTTATGGTTCTATCTGTCCACTTTCCCGAAAGCTTCAAAACAACTTTAGGATCAATTTTAGAGCCCTCTTCAGTCAATGCAGCTTCAATACTAGTCATTACTTCACTAATCTTAGCAGAATCTGTAAAACTTTCTAAACATTCAGTATACTCATGATACTTTAACAACACATTCTGATCACTGATAGGGTACTCTTCCATAAGATCAGATAACGGATCAATGCACAAGAAGTTATAATGAGGTTGCAGAACATTAAAAATTTGGTCAACTGTTGTACCATCACAAACAAGACCAGTCACTTCGTAACTTTCTTCTATCCAGCGAGCAACATCAATCACATCATATTCTTTACTGTTTGCATAAAACTTTCTAATATCTCTCACTAGTCCTGGAAACTTCTTGAGGAGATTCTGAAACTGTAAGGATATTGCATGATCAGAGCTGAATTCAATTTCTGTAGCAAATGAAAGTTTCATTTTCTTGTGTAACAGCAGTTTAAATGATACATGATGGCTTTTGAACACCTCCTGTTGCCAATCTTCAGCAAGAGCAAGTGCTTCCTCTCTAGCTGGTCCTTCTGCAATAGCAAGACACGATAAAAATAATTGACATTTTTCTTCGAGCATAAAAACATCTTCTGTGTGCACAGAAATCAGAGACAAAAAATCAAGTTCTATTTTTTCAAAGGTAGGCATGTTGCGAACATCTCTATTAATTAGGCCTTCACTGTACATTTTGTCAGCTACTTTTTGGAGGCAATTCTCTGTGGCTTCTTTTAATGTGCAATAGCGACTTCTCAATACATCCTTTATCGTTTTACATGTGCTTTTACTTGTTCCTGTATATGAAATGAAAATGAATCCTATTAATATATCCTATTATAAATAAAATCTTACTAGAATGTTTTTCAAAGATTTGTCGTGCTAAAGTAACTTCATTGGAACTCAATAGAGCAATACAGATATTTCTCCATGTTATATGAGGATTACTATGGCAGTATTGAGCTACAGCATCAATGTAATTAGAAGGTCTGGCCTCATTCTCCTCCATGCTCTGCTTAATACCAACAATGACATCTTGTGTCACGTTAGGAAGATAACAGACAAACTGTTCCCAAGTACCAGCAGTAAACTTTGAGCTACCCAATAACTCAACCAACTCATCTTTTGTTAGTTTATCTAATCAATAATGTAAAGCACTATTATTAGTGAAAATCAGTTTACCTGTAAGAGTGGGTCCAGGATTAAGTTCCACATCTCCTGATATAAAGAGGAGGAGAGCAATCAGAATGAAAATAGATAAAATGAGTGTATATGCCGAAGTAGATCTACACGATGTTCCGCTGGTTTCTTTGGTTGTACCAGTAGGATAGTCACAAGATTTTGACCACTGGCAACAGCCCCAGGAACCTATTCTAGCTCTCCACTGACACAGATCAATCATAACAATGCCTCGTAACAATGAAAGTTTAGATATGGACTGGTGGGAGGAGCCCTGGCAAAGGTGGTAACATCACGAGTAACATCATAGATAATATCTACTAATAATATCTAATACTAATATCTATGATACTCTGATATCTATGGTAACATATCATTATGTATCTATGGTGGTGACAAGTAAAAAAGAAGAACCTTCCAATCTTATCCTGTTGTGACATAATTTAGTCATAATATTGTCAGGTATAATGTTACACAATTCAGAAGCTAAAAAAGAGACTAAATTTATCACTTTTGAAGTATAAATGGTAGATAAATAATAATGATAAACAACTCCTATGGGTGTTTATGGATTTTGTAAACCGAACGTGAAGCCTGAAGTTTACAAATTCCATAGACAACTCATTGGAGGTGTTTATCTAAACATATTCGTGGATGACAAGCTATATTCTCAGTGTTGAATGGCTTCCATGTAACGTTCTCAGTAGCATTTGTAAACCACATTCATATCATTAACATCAAAAAGAATTATTCATGAATGGTTTAAAACGAAAATAAAGTATAACTGTTTTGGACTTTTCAATTTTGATAAACCATTTGTTTACATAAGGGTACTACAAAAATAATCAAATCAAGACCTATGTATACTTACCATATTCAGCATCTACACCTAGCATGTCCAAATGCATAATGTGAATCTCTACACATATAATGCAAATTTTGCAATGTAAACTGTAACAAACCAGAAATAAATTAAAAATAATGTACAATTGCATACAAAATAATTTCTATACATGCTTAAAATTGAAAAGGTAGTCTCATCACATTTTCTAGTCCTGCTATAATAAAGTTAATGGTAAAATAAATAATTCAATCAGGATTTTAAAATATACACGTATAATTGAATTAAAAATTAATACTGCTACTATAGTTTTGATTTTTGACAAAGCACTCGACCCATCAAAGAGAGCAGGATCCATTCTTCTAAAATCCATCTCAATGTCTTTCATTGGAAGATGCTCTCTACACAATAGCATTAGTTAAAACACTAATTAGAGGGATTGACCCACCTGCATGATATCCCAGCTTCACTCAATAGCTTTTGAGAGTAAGTGGTCTCTGAGCCATCACACTGCCACTTGTTCATGTAATGGACATGATTCATACGAGACTGGATAATAAGTTGAGCACATTTGTTGCATGGATAAGTCACTGTATATAGAATGCAATAATTAAGATTGTGCCTGTTTGCGTATACTATGGCATTGGAAATGGCATGACAACCTAAAAAACTATAATAGATGTATGCATACATGCATATTCCAATGCTAATTTTTAGACTATTACAGTGTTACAGTAGCTTAGAATAACCATAATTCTAAATAGAAATATTGAGCTACAGAAATAATTCCAACTGACAGACAGTTTAGGATTGTGCATGTATAACTCAATGATACTATGTAATTCAATATGTACAGCTATATTCTAGCTATATAATAACACAAATTAAAAACAAATCTCTAGATTACTCCATTTTGCTTTATAAATGGTAGAAAATTAAAGAACTGAGCAACAGTGCTTTGTTCCTATCAATTATAATTAGTTACATAATGTGTCTACTGTCTAGTATTCTGTGTATCTTCAGCCATGTCTTCATTCCCATCCTCCGATTTCCTATGTGCTCCGCTCATTAATAACTCTGAATGGAATTGAATTGGATTTTCTTCAGAAACAGCTATTGATCGTATTAAACTGATATTACTGGATATATTGCCTTTTGGTGCAGATATGGGTTGAGGTCGAGTAGCAGAAAATGGTTTTGCTTTTTCTGTTATTGAAATTAATAAGCTTACAATAGAATTTGTGAGAAATTTTTCTTCCTTGTTAAGCAGTATGTCTAGTACAGTTAAACCCTTATCATTAGTTTTGTTAACATCAGCCCCAGCTTGTACCAGTGTCTCGACAATTTCAATATGTCCACATGAAGCTGCTATCATCAATGGAGTTATACCACCTGCTAGTGGAGTATCTGGACTCATGCCCACTTCAAATAACATACTAACTAATAACCCTAAATCTCCTTCCACAGCAGCTATTAATAGCTCTCTCTCATTACTTGAACTTGTGATTTTGTCTGATAACAAAATCATCACTGAAGAGCCACCATTATAACAAGCAGCAACAAAAGCATGTGTGTAATCCTCCAGGGAGACTTCACAGTTCTCCATGATGATCTTCACAGCATCAGGATTACAATTAATAGCTGCTAGTACTACTGAATGAATAGTGACATTTTTGATTTGGTGCATGTGATTAGGATGACTATGGAGTAATTGTTCCAAAATATTCAAATAATTTGGTGTTTCATAGCCTTTTTGTAAGACAATTGCAAGTGCCGTCCTTCCATCATTGTGCTTGATGCTAAGATCAATATCTTCATTTAGCAGAAGTTCAACAATGTTGAAATGACCAATCTTGCAAGCAAGCATCAAAGCAGTCCATCCATATCTGTCTTGTGTGTTAATATTTGGATGCTTACTTAATAAAAGGTTAACAACCTGATAGTGCCCATTGGCACAGGCAATCATCAAAGCAGTCCAACCCTTCACTTTAACTTGAATGTTAATATCTGGACCAGTATCCAGTAGGAGTTCAACAACTTCATAATGCCCTTTAAGGCAAGAAAGCATCAAAGAATTCCATCCATCTTTGCTCTCAGCATTTATAAGAATATTACATTTTTTGTTATCTTGATCATCAATAGCTCTAACATTACTGAGTAAGACTTTTACGATCTGGTAATGTCCATAATAACAAGCAAGACTAAAAGCATTCCATCCTTCTTTATCTTCAATACTGGTATTAGCATTTCTTCTAAGTAAGAGGTCCACGATTATATGATAACCTTTACAACAACTTAACATCAAAGCTGTCCATCCATCATCAGTACCAATGTTAATATCAGGATTTGCACAAAGTAAAATTTCAACAACTTGGCAATGTCCATTATCACAAGCAATAAACAGTGCTGTTTCCCCTTTATTGTCTTGAATATCAATATCTGGATTATTACTAAGTAAAAGTTCAACAATGTCACTATATCCATCTTGACAGGCAAACATTAAAGCAGTCCATCCTTCCAAATCACGGGCATTAATATCAGGACCATTTCTCAGCAAGAGCTCAACAATTTGGGCATTTCCATAATAAGAAGCAATCATCAAAGCATTGACTCCTTTATTATTTTGAATATTGATATCTGGGCTCTTACATAGCAGGATCTCATCCACAACTTGGCAATGTCTACCACTGGAAGCAAGTATTAATGCAGTGTTCCCTGAACTGTTTCGATAATTAGCATTTGTGTCAAATTGCAGAAGTAGTAATGCTACTTTGTTACACTCTTCATCTTGGTCAATAGTACTGATAACGTGTAGAAGCGATTCATCAAAACTGAAGTTAACATCTTCAACTTCATTAATGATGGTTTCATTGTTAATTATAAGTTGAAATATACCAAAATAACTCATGAGCTGAACTTTGTCTTGTGCTTTAACAATAAGAGAACAAATGACTTTATAAGATGCAGCCAAAAAATGAATCTCTATCGATCCTGTTCGTATTTTTTTAATTGTAAGATACTTCGATTCTTCAGGGAAAAAGTATTCCATCATTTTCTGGAGATTTTTTATGGTTCTTTCTGTCCATTTTCCCGAAAGCTTCAGAATAACTTTAGGATCAGTTTTAGAACCTTCTTCAGTCAATGCTGCTTCAATACTAGTCATTACTTGACTTATCTTAGCAGAATCGGTAAAACTTTCTAAAAATTCGGTATATTGATGATACTTTAACAATACATTCTGATCATTGATAGGGTACTCTTCCATAAGATCAGATAACAGATCAATACACAAAAAGTTATAATGAGGTTGCAGAACATTAAAAATTTCATCAACTGTCATGCGATCACGAACAAGACCAGTCACTTCGTAACTTTCTTCTATCCAGCGAGCAACATCAATCATGTCATATTCTTTACTGGTTGCATAAAACTTTCTAATATCTCTCACTAGTCCTGGAAACTTCTTAAGAAGATCCTGAAGTTGTAAAGATATTGTATGATCTGAGCTTAACTCAATTTCTGTAGCAGATAAATGTTTCGTTTTTTGGTGTATCAGTAGTGTAAATGATACATGATGGTCTTTGAACACCTCCTGTTGCCAATCTTCAGCAAGAGCAATTGCTTCATCTCTAGCTGGTCCTTCTGTAATGGCAAGGCATGATAAAAATAATTGGCATTTTTCTTCAAGCATAGAAACATCTTCTGTGTGCACAGAAATCAGTGACAAAAAATCAAGTTCTATTTTTTCAAAGGTAGGCATATTTCGAACTTCTCTATTAATTAGGCCTTCACTGTACATTTTGTCAGCTATTTTTTGGAGGCAATTCTCTGTGGCTTCCTTCAACTTGCAATAGTGACTTCTCATTACATCCTTTATTGTTTTGCATGTGCTTTTACTTGTTCCTGCATATGAAACAAAATTAGTAAGATTAAATATGTTACAATTCTTACTAGAATGCTTTTCAAAGATTTGTTGAGCTAAAGTAACTTCATTGGAACTCAGTAAAGCAATACAGATACTTCTCCATGTTATATCAGGAATATTTTGACAATGTTGAGCTACAGCATCGATGCCGTTAGGACTGACCTCATTCTCCTCCACATTCTGCCTAATACCAACAATGACTTCTTGTGTTATGTTTGGAAGATAACAGACAAACTGTTCCCAAGTACCAGCAGTGAACTTTGAGCTACTTAGTAACTCAACCAACTCATCTTTTGTTGGTTGGTCTATGTACAACAAATAAATTACACAACAGAGTTATAAGCAGTGAGTTTACCTGTAAGAGTGGGTCCAGGATTAAGTTCCACATCTCCTGATATGAAGAGGAGAGTGATCAAAATGAAACATATGAAAATCAAGATGAAAAAAGATAAAACGAGTGTAGATCTGGAACTAGATGTTCCACTGGCTTTACAGTAGATGCTACTAGCAGCACAGCCACGGGGTTGTGACCACTGGGAACAGCTCCAAGAACCTATTCTAGCTCTCCACTGACACAGATCAATCATAACAAAGCGATAGCAAGTTGCTATTTAGATATGGCTGGTGGGAGGAGCCCTAACAAAGGAGATATTAGAGTAATTACTCCTAATATCTATGTGGTAACATAGACATCACTCTATTAAGCCCAGTAACATTTTTGTAACACAGCTTATACAGGAGTCACTGAAGCTTGCAACATGTTGCTTGAAATAGCACTGGGTTTTCTATTCCGTGCAACATGTTGCAAGCTCCATTGACTCCTGTATACTACATGTATCCATGGTGGTGACAAGCAAAATGAAAAAACCTTTCAATCTTGTCCTGTTGCAGTGACATAATCATAATTTTGACAGGTACATATATATGTTACACAATTAAAAAGCTAAGAAAAGAGACTAAAGTTATCACTTGTAAAGTAAAGGTAGATAAATGAGGTGTTTATCTGTTTTACACATATTCATGTAGACATAAGCCCCATTTACAACAAAAAATACTGCTTCAGTACTTAAACCGGTCTGATTATCTCAAACCACCTACCTGAGGTGGTTTAGATAAGTCGGTTTGAAACCGCATTTAAATTGTCCACACATAAACTGGTGTATTTCTATTTCTAAGCCAGTTTCAAACCACTTTGAAGGCCTAGTGTAAATGGGGCTATTGTTATTGGTGAATGGGTTTAAAATTAAAATAATGTATAACTGTCTTGGACTTCTCACTTTTGATAAACCATTTGTTTACATAAGGGTACTACAAAAAATAATCAAATTAAGACCTACTTAATACGTAGGTCTTAATTTGATTATTTTTGTAGTACCCTTATGTAAACAAATGGTTGAGAAGTCTAAGACAGTTATACTTTATTTTCATTTTAAGCCATTCACCAATAACTATAGCCCAATTTACACTATGCCTATAAAGCGGGTTGAAACTGGTTTAAAAATACACCAGTGGACGTGTGGACAATTATGTATACTCATCATATTCACTATCTAACATGGTCAAATGTCAAAATGTGAATCTCTACACATATAATGCAAATTTTGCAATGTAAACTATACCAAACCAGAAATAAATTTAAAATATGTACAATTGCATACAAAATTATTTCTATACAATTAAAGCTTAAAATTGAAAAGGTAGTCTCACCACATTTTCTAGTCCTGCTATAATAAAATGGTAAAATAAATAAATCAATCAGGATTTAAAAATATATAATTGAATTAAAAAATAATCCTGTTACTATAGTTTTGATAAAGCACTCGACCCATCAAAAAGAGCAGGATCCATTCTTCTAAAATCTATCTCAATGTCTTTCATTGGAAGATACTCTCTACACAATAGCATTAGTTAAAACACTAATTAGAGGGATTGACCCACCTGCATGATATCCCAGCTTCACTCAATAGCTTTTGAGAGTAAGTGGTCTCTGAGCCATCACACTGCCACTTGTTCATGTAATGGACATGACTCATACGAGACTGGATAATAAGTTGAGCACATTTGTTGCATGGATAAGTCACTGTATATAGAATGCAGTCATTAAGATTGTGCCTGTTTGCCCATACCATGGCATTGGAAATGGCATGACACCCTAAAAAAATTAAAAAACTATAATAGACATTATGTGTACGTGTACATGTACATTCCAAAACAAATTTTCAGACACTACTACATTATTACACAGTAGCTTAACATAACCATATTTGAAAAGATATACAATGTACTTACAATAAGGATAATTAATTGAATGATTATTCCAAGAGGGTTAAAATAAAATGCTAGTTTATATTACATGTACATTGCCATGCACACTTGTATAATCACAAACATAATATCATTAGCTGACATAACCACACGAACTGCATATACATAACCTGCGCGTTAGCTCACACTTCCTTTGAAGTAAAGTATGAATACCATTAAATCGTGATTAAATGTAGGCGTAGAAGTCTTCACCCACACAAGTACCACACCCCTTGGTTGGCAGAAAGCTACATCGAAGGAATGGAGATGGAGGAAAATTCCAAAAATAAGAAGGAAAGAAGTTGCTTATAGCAACAAAGAGGCTCCTCACTGACTCATAGGTGTCTGTAGCAGAAGTAGCAGCTCTAACTTTAAGCACAGATGTAAGAAGAACTGCGCCTTTGCTTTTTTATGCTTTTCTTCCATTCGTTTGTACTGCATTCTGCCAACCAGGGGAGTGGCTTTAGTCAAGCTCCACCTTAGCTAATGTGGCTTGAAGCCTTTGATCTGAAGGTGAGAGGTAACGCGCAGGTTATGTATACACATTTACAATAGAAAACTCACTACAAAAAATTAAACTCACAGTAGTCAGGACAACTGCTATCAAATCCATCGATTACCGTATGGTGACCAACCCCAACTACTATCTTACCATCAGGACTGACTATACAGGAACCAATCTGAAGCTATTATAAGAGGAAACATGCTAGATTCCGTACAATAGTCTCATACAAACCATGCTGTTTGAGTCTTTCTGCCTTTTCCCAGCGAGTATAGCAGTTCCCATGAAGTAGTCGTCCCATCTGATGCACTGAGGTCTTCTAGTCATTGGCAGGGACAGTTCAAGAGCACTAAAAAGAAGACAACAAAGATTAGTGTTTCAACTCGCCATTTTAAATTCAAAAGGTGCGGCTAGTTATCAAATTTAAATTTAATTTTTTTGCGACATTTTTGCGCATGCGCAATAAAAGAGGGCGTGGTATATTTACATTCATGCCCCTCCCACCATCATTCTCTCAAGATGGCGGCTCAAAGGGAGCAAGAGGAGGGGACACTTTTCAACGACGAAGACGCCGTTAGCAAGCTAGAGGCCCTCGTCTTTAATTCTCTGAGTCTTGGGCAGTGGGAGTCAGCCCGCGGTCATCTCATATCTCTCTCTAGCCACGAGAAGGGACGAAAAACCGTCAAAGAAATTTTAAGATCAATTGTACTCAATCCTAAAGCAGTTTGGTAAACAAATGCAATCACATAAATGATTTTTGCATGCTTTAGAGTCACTGTTTGTAGCTGAACTAACAATGATTTTTATGTACACAAGCTTGTGACTTTTAGGGGGTGTTGCCACTACATGTACATGTAATTCTGATCGATTGCAATTTAATTTTGCAAACACAATGGGCTATGTAATAATGAATGCATGTTATTATTATTATAAAATTGCATGTACATGTACATTATATAGCTCTAGTCCATTGTTTATGAATGTATGCATGATGTTTTGTACATTTTGTAATTATATGTCTTCATGTTTTGTACATAATGTACATGTACATGTATAATTATTAATTGTAGGAGTGAGTCAAAGTCCATTCCATCAGAGAATCACTTAGTCCTACTCGCTCTACAGGCTCATGCAGAGTTATGCCAAGATGATGTGGTATGTCCATAGAATCCATACAACATGTACAATGTTACTTGTACAGTACATGTACTTAAAATGTTTTTTCTTGATAAAGGTGTACATGTATGTGTGCATGTACATGTACATTTATATTATGCTCAATAAATGTATGTGTATGTACATGTAAATTTGTAACAAAACATTAATGACTTTAAGTGCTAATTTTTGTTTTTGTTTACTTTTTGTGTTTTATTGTTATCAATAGGAAGGTATTCCCTCTGCTGTTCAGCGTCAACATGAGTTTAAGCTCCTCCTTCATTCCTGTACTCTCTGTGAAGGATACACAACTCAGATAAGCGTAAGATAATGAAAATGAAAATGATAACATTATTTTCAATAGTTACATGCATGTACATGTACATGTAATTCTGCTACCTACGTGTACATGTACACTATACATGTACACTATACATGTACACTGTACATGTTTTTTTATACTATCATAGAAACCGTACTAAAACAAACTAACACAGCATAATACATGTCAGATAAAAACACAAAAAATATGTACATGTAGTAAGAAGTACATGCACAACAAATAGTAATATGTAATACACGTATACAAAAGTCTATAATTAGGATTAAATCAAACTTTAACATTCCACTCAAAGTATGTATTACAGTATTTTAATATGCCTATTTTATGTACAGATACATTGTATAATGTAGATGTACATATACCTTATTAATAGCTATTATCATTATTATACTATTAATTTATTAACATTATACCATATATGTATTATTACATAAGTGTATTCCCTTATTAGGAGTGGCTATACGGGTATTACACTACGCATTGTGTTGGTTCTACTCCTCACTCCCTCACTCCTCTACACACCTTCCATGCTACCATACAAAAGTTCCTCCTATCAGTCCTTCAATCCAATCCCTCTGTGGCCCACGTCCTCATCTCTTACCTAACAGTTGCTAACAGACCCCATTACTTAACCAACAACGAGTTACTACAGCTACTCTACATTGACTGCATTGATAGCTACCTGGGAAGATTGGAGAAAGTTTGTCGTAAAGCCTCCACTACTGAAGACCCAAACTTGCACAAGGATGTAGCTGAGCTAAGCAGCAAGATCCACTCCATTCTCTCTTTAGTCGATCCTCTTCCAGACATGGGCCG